ACCGGGAACATAGGCCTTCGAGAACGTCGACGAAGACATAGGACGGTAGACGACGAAGACGACAAGTTCAAATGTGATTGCGGCTTCGAATGCGAAGACCGTGTTCATGTAGTCGCGGAATGCCAGTTGTACGAAAAGGAGAGGGAAGTGTACATGACTGAGCTGGGAAAAATACAAGGGAGGTACAGGGAGATGTTTGAGGCATGGAATAGAGAGGAGAGGACGTTAGCTGTACTGGGGCATAGGAAGTGGTTTGAAAAGGCGGGAAGGGATATCGGTAGGATATATAGACTAGGGAAGACATTTTTGAGCCACCTTTGGCAAAGTAGGAAGGAGCGATTGGCCATCGGTGATCGGTCCTGTGGGAACAATGGTCCGTCCTCTCGAGGACGTGTGGTCAATGGTCTAACCGCTAAGGCATGCAAAACATATGAGTCCGCCGCCGCCCCCCGCCCCCCCGGTCGAAACTTGTATTTTTGTCATTCTACTTGGATATAACAGGAGCCGGCTGACTGCTTCCCCTGCCACCGGCCTGGTGGGCCTTCAGGAGGACGGTTACCTCATGGACTTCTTCGATTGTCTAGGGTTCCTCTCCCTCGCCAGCCCAAGGTAGCAACATAGTGGTATACTAGATGTAATGTGCCGGCGGCGCTAAGCAAGAATAGGATGAATTCCGACAGACGCGGGACAGCACAGCAGGAGCATCGACTTAGTTGGGGGGCTAGCACCTCCTTCGAGACGTCTACGAAACCCACCGTAGTTCCAGAGCACGCTCACCCCCTGTTTTTGCCGTGGCTAGAATTTGATGTTGCAAGTACACTCAAAAGCCTGATCGCTCCCGGCATCTGTGCGGTAGAGTGCCATCATACGTGAACTTCATGAAGGAGGAAAACAAATGGTACCTCCCCCCCCCCCCCCCCGACGCGGGGGCCAAGGGCTAACAGCTAAGGGAAGCAAAAAAAAAGAGGACGCCCCCCCCCCCCCCCCCCCCCCCCCCCCGGCCCGGGCGCCCCAGGGGAACCGGGCAACAAAGGGGGGCGG